GGCCTCTCTGCAGCCGTGGCCGGGGCTGGGGAAGCTTTGTGGGATTGTAATGAGTTAGTTCCCTGAGTCCAGCTGAGCCAGGACGGGCCCCAGGGAAGCAGCTTGCAGGCCGGCCTCTGGCCTGGGAGCGCCTGGAGGAAGCAGCCCCGGACAGTTTCAGGCGGTGGTGTTGGCAGGGTTGGGATGTTGCTGAGGGTTGGGATGTTGCTGTGGCTTTTCTTTCCCTGCTACCAGCAGAGAGCAGCAAAACCCTTCTCCTGCCGAGCTGGGCTGAGCACGAGGGAAGGGAGCTGAGCTGGGGGTGCAAGACCCGGGTGGGGCCTAGATCCCTTGTCCACGCCTGCATCAGCAGGGTGACCCACAGGTCTGCATCTGTCTGTCCAAGTGTCCTGCAGCAGTTAACCACAGGATCCCAGGCACTGGGAAGCAGGAAGACTCTCTTAAGCCTAGTTTTTGCCCACAAGCGAAGGCCGAGCTCTCACTGGCCTTTCAGAGCTCTTCCTTTCTCAGCAGTGATAAAAAGTGACTTTCGTAGTGGTTTAAACTGATTGTAAACGATGAAAGCGTAGCTCTGACCTGCTTTTGGCCTGCCTTGGATGTCAGGGAAGATGAGCTTCATGCTAAGCGTCCTTTAAAGGAAAGGCTGTGACTCCCCAGCTGGTCCTTGCACCCCAGCCTCTCCCTGAGCCCGTCCCTGTGTCTGTGGCCTACGCAGGACTGATGATCTCAGGCTTTGCCCAGGCTGGTGCAACGCTAGCCAAGGAGGAGTACGTGAGCCGGGCTGTGCAAGCTGCCAGCTTTCTGCGGAGACACCTTTTCGACCCCACCAGCGGGAGGTTGCTGCGGAGTTGCTACAGGGGTAAAGACAACACAGTTGAGCAGAGGTGAGCTGAGATACAGAGTGTCTCCAAGCTGGCTGGCCACCCTGTAGATGCTCCTCTGACCCCACCGTGGTCTCTGTCCTCCCATCCTCTGGGCTGAACTGAGCTTGAAGGGAGGGAGGCTGTTTGCCGTGCGCAGCACTGCCTCCTGTGCGTGTGTTTAGGGATGGATTAGTACTCCCAACAGAACAAGGAGGACTTGAGGTGAAATCCTCTCCTTTCCCTTTCTCATCTCCTTTCCGGGGTGGTAGGAGCCTTCCCTGTCTCTTCTGCTGCTTGTATCCCTGTACAGTATCCTGGGGCTGAGCGGCACGAGGACTTGCAGCAGCCGCTGCTTATCTCGTACTGAGCTGAGGGAAGGGCCGAGCGAGGTGGCATCTCCCCATCTGACCCCCAGATAGCGGAGACCAGTGCCTTTGCCCTGCCAGTCTCAGGGGGTTGGAGGACACTGCCTACCTGGCTGGCATAGAGAACCTGATGGTCCTTCTGTTTGCCGTTGTAGTGCCGTGCCCATCCAAGGGTTCCTGGAGGATTACGTCTTTGTCATCCAGGCTCTCTTTGACCTGTACGAGGCCTCGCTGGACCAGGGCTGGCTGGAGTGGGCCTTGCAGCTCCAGCACGTGCAAGATAAGCTCTTCTGGGACCCCAAAGGCTTTGCATATTTCTCCAGTGAGGCCGGTGACCCCTCCCTGCTCCTCCGCCTGAAGGACGGTGAGCTTGGGGACCCATCTACGCTCTCCGCAGCCAGGCCTGGTCTCATGTCCCCCTGGCCGGTTGTGGTGTGGCAGCTTAGGGAAGGCAGGGCTGCTATCTGGCTGGAGGGCCAAACTGTGGGGCATTGGGCTGACGGAGGGGTTGTTGTCTCCCCACAGACCAAGATGGAGCAGAGCCCAGTGCCAACTCTGTCACTGTCACGAACCTGCTCCGAGCGGCCTCTTACTCTGGCCACATGGAGTGGGTGGAAAAAGCTGGGCAGATCTTGGCTGCCTTCTCGGAGAGGTTGCTGAAGATCCCGATAGCCCTGCCGGAGATGGCCCGGGCCAGCGCTGCCTTTCATCACACCCTCAAACAGGTAGGGGCTGGGCTGCCTACCAGGCCACGGGTCAGCACGGGGCTCGCACGCTTGCCTGTCCCCGTGTGCCGAGCCTGCCCGCGCTGGGCAGGCAGCACTGAACAGATGTGTCCACCTACACATCTGCCCTGTATCCGTGTCCTCCACCACCTGAACTCCCCACCCCAAAGCGTGTAGGAGGGCAGCGGGGTGGCGTCCACCTCTCATCACGGCCTTTGCTATGGGGCTTAGGTTCGATGCTCCCAGGATGCCAGACCAAGGGCACACGTGTGGGTCTCAGCTCCAGCTCCCTCAGCCAGTTCCAGTTCAGGTTCATAATCTGGGCACAGACACCCTGCAGTTTCTTGAGCTGCTTATGAGCGGGTTTTTAATACCCTCTGTGCTCCACTGTGTCCCTGGGCAGTGCTGAGCTGCTGCTCTCTTTAGCCCCAGAGGTGGCTTTGTGTCTATGCTGGAGTCTGATCCTTGGGCTCATGGTCTCTGGCTGAAAGACCAGAGACTGCTGGGCCACCAGAGCCCAGAGGGACTGGACCTGCTGTCGGGGGGGCCCCAGGGCTGTGCGTGCCTACCTGTGAGCAGGTACCATCAGAGGTCTCTGCCTGTGCCCTCTCCCTCCTGGCATTCGTGCTCTCTCTGGACAGGTTGTTGTCTGTGGGGACCCACAAGGAGAAGACACGAAAGATCTGCTTCGCTGTGTCCACTCTGTCTTCTGCCCAAACAAGGTAGAGGTGACAGCCCTGCCAGCCCTTGCCCTGTCCCACCTGCACAGCCTTTCTCTCTGGCCGCAGTCGCACTCAGTGCTGCCAGCTGGGTTGCTTGCATTTTCATCCTCTCTCCCAGTGCTGCTGTAGCATCCATCTTCCTCCTCTTTCCATCTGTCCCACCTCCCTTCTCAGGAATGTCCCATGCTTCCCTTGTTGGTCAGCGCAGCCGGCGTGGGCCACCCCCTGCACACCTCTCCCCGGTGCAGACGGAGGGCAGTTCAGCCTCTTTCTGGCGGCCCAGCCCTGGGATAGGAGTTGATATAGCAGTGTTTGCTGTCAGTCGTGTGTGTTTACACCGCTCTCAGCCTGGCCCAGTGCCCCCAGCACTGCTCTCCCAAGGGAAAACCCTTCGTTCCAGCGTGGATGTGTCATGCCCTGCGCTGATCCAGCTCATATCTCGGTCACCTTCTGCCGGGGGATGTTCTTACATCGCTGGGAAGAAGCAAGCCAGTGCCTCGCTCCCTCTGCATTATGGGCTTGGGTATCCCCTGGCCAGGAGGGGCTGGCTTCTCCAAAAAGGCTTTGCTCCGAGCCCGTATGTGATAAGCCACGCTGTGCTCAGCGTTGTCACGTGTGTAGCTGTGCTTGGCTGAGTCTCCGCTCAGGGACCTGTTGCCCAGTGCGTGCCCAACCAGGGCTGGGACGAGTGCTGGGCACCGCGGGGCCGAAGGGAGGACCCCCGGCTCTGCGGGAGGTGCGGAGGGGCCACGTTGCTGTGTGTGGGGAAGGAGCTGTTTGCTTCCTGCGGAGCTGGCAGGGAGCAGCAGCGCTGCAGCTGGCTCCCCAGCGCCCATCGCGTTCAGCTGGCAGCGTCCCTGCCCGGGGGCTGACAGCTCGCCCGCGTGCAAGCCGGCTGAGCTTAGGGAAGCGGAGCCGGGCTGGCGGGGGGGGGGGGGGAAGAGCGTTTGAACCTCGAGCCCTGTTTCCCTCTGTAACCCAACCTGGAGCAAACCGGAGAGGGCCCAGCTCTCGGCAGTAAGTGATTCCCTGCCCTGTCTTTGTGTTAGACCACACCACAGAGTTTATCTTCCCTCATCCTCTGCGTTAAGTGCCTATCAGTGTTTAACGAAGGTGACGGAGGGCAGTCCAGGACTTCTGCCCCTCCAGCAAAACAGAGACGAGGCCCCGCTCCCTGTGCGTGTGGGATCGGTAGGCACTGGGAGTGCTGTTAGGGAAGCACAGCTCCTGGTCCTTCCTCTGCTTGCCCAGTCCTGCTCCCCTTGCGTCACGGCTTAGCCAGCCCGCGGCCCGTGCTCACCCCTGTGCTGCGTACGAGGCCCTTCTCTGCTCCAGCTTTATTCCTCCCTCTCCCTTTGAAGGATTACAGCGAGTGACCCAGTTTGCAGGAATCGAAAGCACCATATTGGCAGCGGGGAGCCGAGTGCTGCTGTTAATAACTAACTGCCTTTCGCAGCAGTGGGTTCAGTCCTTGTTCCCCCGAGCCTGAACAGGCTCTGGGAGAGGGACATAGCTGACAACTTCAGGAGTTTTGAGCAGAGCAAATAGCAGAGCAGATTCTTCCCTTCCTCCCATATGGTTCAATTCCCTCCTGTTAAGCCAGCAGCCAGCCCAGCTGTAAAGGAGATTTGCTTCCTGAGGGGACCGTCCACCCCCCCTGGGCCTTTGCCTTCCCCAGAGGAGCAAGGAAGAGGAGGGCTGGGTGCTCTCCTCACGGTTTGGTTGTGCATCCTCTGTTGCGGTAGGTAAAACTCTGGAAGCTGCCCAAGGAAAGCAGCACTTGGCCAGTGATCGCAGATGAACTGAGCACAGAGGGATGTGTCTGGGGTTGTGATGAGAGGCTGCAGTTGCTGATTGAGAGAAGACAGGTCGAGGGTCCGTCCCTTGCCACAGGTCTGCCGTTTGCGCAGCTCGTTGAGGGTTTCTGTTTCCCACTGTGACACAGTGCTGATTTCAGGTGGGAGCAACCTGTGCTTTCTCCCATCGTGTGGCAGGGACACCCTCCCACACGGCAAAGATATGATATCACATGTGCAGTGCCAAGGGCTCCTCCTTCTCGCATCTGGAAGGGTCAATCTGAAAATGCTTGTTCCCGTGCTATGATGGGGAGCCGGGAGCCAGGGACTTAGCTGAAGTCTTCTTATCCCCCAGCATGAGTCCACACATCATGGTTTGGACTTGCTGGGCCAAGACAGATGACAGATCAGAAGCTGTCATGTTTGGCAGCCTGGCTGCTGCCTGAGTTTGTTTCCTGGAAGAAGGAATTTTCCTACATGTTTGTGAATGTGTCAGGAAGATCTCTGCCAGGAAAACGCTCTCCACTGAAAGGGTGCAGACCCAGAGGTAGGTGTCTCTTCTTCCCAGTGCACCAAATGCTGAAGGAGCTCTAGGAGCTGAACTCATCCTCAAGTTTTGCAGCCCCAGGCCCATCCAGTCCACCTTCATAGTGCTTGTTCCTGCAACAAGAGGGGTGCCTGGATATGCTGAGCTTGTCTCCAGCAGATGGGATGTCAGAGGCCTGCGCCCATCGTGGTGACAGCTGTTTCTCTCTGCCTGGGGTGAGAGATCTGCTCTCTTCAGTGTCATTTGGGTGTAATGGAGGATGACAAGGCGGCAGAGCTGCAGAGCCGTGCTTCCCCTGAACTGTCATGCTGGGACTCACCTGATGCTGCGTTCCTCTGTCACGGTCACACGGTCTGGAGGGACGGTGCGGAGAGCGGAATAACGGGAATGAGGGCCCTGGGCTGCTGGAGTCATGGGCTGGGGCCAGAGCTGGAGCAGAGCTGTGCTGCTCTCAGAGGAAGGGAGCAGAAAGCAGGGTTAAGTACCGGATAAATTTGACAGAGATGCTGAGATATGGGCACGACAGGGCTGGGAGCTTTTGTATCCCCCGTGTCAGTGAGAGATGCCCACAAGGTCGCTGCTGCCCAGAAGAGGCAGCAGTGGTGCAAGTTGCCTACTTCCCCTGGCCTTGCCGAGGAAAGGTCTCTAAGGGAGACCCCCGTCTACCTCTGCTCCATCGTGGCCACCAGCGCGCTATGGGCCGGGCTCTCCTGCCTGCGCCTGCTCTGTGCCGAGGCGTTGCCCACAGGCCGTGTCCGCACGGTGCTGGGACAGCAAAAGGTTTCTTTGGGCGTCAGGAGGTTCATGGGAGTGAAGACTTTGGCTTGAAGGTGAAGCTGTGCTCCTGGCCTGGCTTTTGCCTCCTAGACAGGGTTTGAGGGCTGCGAGCCCTCCTTTGGCCAGAAGAACAGGGTGGGTTCCTCCAGGCCAGGTGCAGCCACAGGCAAAGCTGGTACTGTCAGAGCTGGTGTCACTGATGTTTTTGTGTCTATCTTTGGATTGTGTGTGGCAGCAATTTGGATAATTTAATCTGTAGGAATAGGTTCTGTCTGCTCACCTTGCAAAGGTAATGGAGAGAAGAGAGTAAAATCCCACTGCTCAGCATTGATATGGGGGTGAGGATCGTGATTCGGAGCAGCCTGGCATCTCCCGCCAAGCATCCCTTTCCACGTTGCGGTGCACGGAAAGGGAGACACTGGCTCCTTCTGCCACCCATCTTCAGCCGTCTCCAGCTGCTCTTCAGCTCTCCTCCTCCTCCCCAGGAAAGAGCCCAAGGCTGAGCAGCCCTGAGTCACCCGCTCTGGGGACACGGCAGCTTTGGGAAGTGGCTTTGCCAAGGAGTTGGGGAGACGTCACTGCTGCGTCTCCCGACGCCCCCACTCCCCCCGGTGCCGGCAGGACGCTGGGGGCTAGGCTCATCTGCAGGAACACAATTAATTAGGTCGCTCTAGTAATTAATTCCTTACAAACCTCACATTGAGATTCTTGCTGTAATGAGAAAGCCGGTGATAAAACGGCATGGAGGTCGCTGGAGCTGGCAAATGTAAATCGTCGTCTAGAGGAGCCCTTTGCCGGGGCAGCGGCCGCTCGGCGAGGGGAAGGGAGCGGCGCTTTGAACCCCTCCGGGGCAATGCTGGTCGCCTAACTGCTCGGGGTGCCGGTCTGGGACGGGGTCCCGGGGCGGGGGGCTCCGGCGCCACGTGCAGGCTATACCCGCTAATCAGACATCAGTGCATGCCGGTGCCCTTCTCCCTTCGGCGTCTTGCACGCCGGGGG